ATGCAACCAGCTTCCTTCTCAGATCTATGTGATTCTTTTCAATGATTTCATTTTTGGATCTAAATTTGTCAGAATTTACATCTCAATTGCCACCACAGATTTGGGGCTGGGGTTCTAATTACAAGAAGCATCCTTCTCGCATCTATTCTATTCTTATCATTGATTTCATTTTTGGATCTAAATTTTTCTGAATTTACATCTCCGCATCTTCTGCGATTTCATTTTTGGATCAATTGACAGTGAATAAGAACCCCAGGCAAAGAATGAGAACACAGCATCACAGATTTTGCAGCCACAAGTCGTCAACCAGACCCTTAGAAGCAAAACTCGACTACTATTCTGATGGGAATATGGGATGGACTGCCAACGGACTGTGGTTAAGATAGAGCGTGACTGGCCGGTGAGGAGTCAACGGTCTTGCCCTTTGTCTTGCTAAAGATCTGGATGATATCCCAGTTACTACAAAGATTTATCAAGACATTATGAAGATTTGGAGGATGATGATTAAAATCTAGATGATCTTATCATCCATGACTTCAAAGGCTATGTTCCAAAACAATCTCTCGTTCGGAAAGCATTGGAGGTAATTTGGACTAATTCCGTTTGTACAATTGTTCTCCATCCAAAGCCCAATCTTGCTTTGTTCTTCCTGAACTATCTTGAGTCTTTACATTTCATGGTGAAATCAATTAAATAAAGCTCATTGCACTATACTCTTAGGCCATGTTCTCCTCAACTTATTCTTTTTACTTATTACTTATTCTTTTTGGAATCAAATCAAATCAGACCAAATCAGATCAGAAATAGCTTTAAATATAACTACATTCAAATCAGATCAGACTAGATCAGTAGCTTTAAATATAACTATATTCAAAACAGATCAGACTAGATCAGAACTTATTCTGATCAAATCAGAACCAATCAGATTAGGTGAAGAGAATATGGCCTTAGAGTCTTACAGAGTATACCCATCCATCCTTATTATTTGAACAGACCAAATAGTAAATGTATTTCAGACTTTTTATTCTCCTTTAACCTTTATCTTGGTATTTTGCCAAAATGAAAGTGGACACATACACCAGAATGGAGGGAGTATATTCCGACATGTTATGAGAAAACAAGGAAGAACAGATAAGTGACAAACCTCACAAACTCGTGCATCAGGTATGTAACTCCAACGACATTGATGATAACCCAATGACCATTTTGGAGGCATAAAAGTAGTCCCTAGATGTGAAATGCAAGCAAAGTAAAATATGGTTAATAAAGAAAATGTCTAAAGTAGTTACAGCAGAAAGAAAGTAATATAACAAATGACAAAACTGTGAAATAGTATTCTTTGATCCCGGACTAGAACCACAACAAAGAAGTGGGGTATAGGCCAGGGAAAATAGCATAAGGCATTTTGAAAGCTAAGAATGTCAATGGCAAGGACTACAAGTGCATGGCACATCATATTACCAATTGCATGTGACAAAGTTACAAGAACATCCGTTGGAGAAGCGAAGGGGCCAAATGTAATAACAGGATATGGCCCCGCTGCAATAAACTTGATATTGGTTTCTATTCTCAAGTCAATCTGCACCAACAAATGTGGAGAAATTTAACTCAAGTACCCATCAGATAGAGCATAAATATTAGTAAAATGGACATACACAAACACACCTCACATCGCAGTGATGTATCTGCCAAAACCCCTAGTGCCTCTCCGCTGGGAAGAATAGTCAGCACCCAAGGGTGTGATTGGTACAAGGAGGTAGTCCCAGGACCATAACCATACGCATCAGTATTCCAGGTGAATACCTGGATATAATAACAAGCACAATAAAAAAGCCTGAAGAGAATAGTGTGAGAGTACTTCACAGATTTAATATAAAAAAATAGCACTCACCCTTTTACCCGTTCTTTCAAGCTGGCCACTAACTTCTCCTGTACCATAGAATGAAGTACCTAGTGGAAGCTAGATTTCATCCCAGCTCAACTTCATCAGATTTATTAGACGTATGATACTCTAAACACTTGACAGGTTGCTATTTATACATCCTTTTGGGACCAAGATTTAATACCTTAATGTTGACGACTTGTTGCCCCATTACACATTCAAAAGTAGGAGTATATAATGGAGCTTTGTGACCACTCATAAGTGGTGTCTCCCTTGCCTTTTGATCTAAGAAAGAAAAACTTGGATATGCTGCATTCCGGTCTTCTGCAGAGCAATCAAATCGGAAGACTCCTTCCTCTAGAATAGGCTCAAAAATCATATTCCCAGATCTCTCATCCGAAGTTTCATTTGTCCTATTCCCAGCCATCTTAGAAACCGCAAAAGTTTCCCCACCAAATCTTTTACCAATTATACTTCTCTTCCTACATACACAACTTTCTTAGTACTTTCGCCTGTTTGCCATCATGCCCTCCATCCATAAAAATGGGGAGATGTAACAGTAGAAAACACAACCAACAACACCGACGTCAAACAAGAAACCAGCAAGGAAGCAAATTTTCCAGCGTAAGCTCCATCCATGATTTAATATTCAGAAAGCTAACAATTTGCTAACTAAAAATAAAAATAGATTTTATAAATGGAAATATTTACACTATAATTCAAATATTAAATAAAAAATATTGATAATAATTTTAAAATAGATGACAAAATAAGTTTAAAAAATGAAAAATATAAATAAAATATTGAAAATAAAACATTTCCTTCCCCTCCCAACCAAGCAAGGTGAAGGGAATCCTTCCCTTCCCTTCCCATTCTCTCCCATCCATTCCCTCCCCTCCCCTCCCTTCCAACCAAACATACCCTTAATGTCCATATACCTGAAGCTACCTATATAACAAAAATGATTTCAGCACTGAATCACACGCAAAGATATTATTGTATAGAACCCATGAGACGTTATCTGGTTAACCCAAAATCACCTGATCGAGTGGTAAGAAAAAGTACGATTTTTGGTGAGGAGTAGAGAGCGGCAATTCAAGAATTTTTGCTTCTTCAGAGACCCTTTAAAAAGACTCCAAGAGCAAGCGGAAGGAAGACTGTGAGGACTATGTGAGGAAATGGACGCTCCGCTCGCACCCAGTGCTTTGGCACTGTCCGTCACGCCTCTACGCATGAGCAGCAGTTCATCCCTTCATCCATGTGCTCCTGGTGTAACTGTGCAAGTCATTTTATCTTCTCGATGTAAGTCGGGTGTGGATAGCATCCCAATTTCTTTCTTTTAATTTTTGGTTTTAAATACGTAGTATAACTTTTGTACTCCATCTGTCCTAATTCTTTCTTCCCAATTTATCTTTTCCCCGTTTTTAATTTTTGGTTTTGACTTCAAATTTTATCCTCCTTAAAAAAGATTTTTTGAAATTTTTTTTTTGCAATCATTCAAAATATAGAGTTAGAAGATAAATGATGTAAATACATGAGGGTATTAATGTCATTTGTCATCTTTTTTTTCTAATGGGAAGGTAGTTTTAGGACGGAGAAAAAGGGGAAGTGGGAAGAAAGTTTTAGGACGGAGGGAGTAATATTTTATTTGATTTTTTAAATTAAATTAAAACAAAATAAACTAATAACTGAAATTAGAAATTTTAAAAAACTAAAATTAGAAAAAAATACGGAGTAAAAAAGTTATAACTAAAAGAGCTTTTCAAAAGCGATGTGACGACGACACCTTCCGCACCAGAGGAACCCATTACCATGAAAAATTTAAATAAATACAACTGTATGTTTTCATTAACATTTATAAATGGAAATATTGATGCATCTCACAATAATGGTTGAGCAATAATATACTCTCAGCGGACACATTCATCATCACTTACCATATTTAATGTCACCATATTTAATGTCTCTCTAGAGGACCTCAACAATACCGCCGCCGTGAAAAGCCAAACAAGCAGCGCCGCTACGTTCAGCTCCGGCGGTAGCTCTGAGTTCGACGGGAATCCGTACGACATGAAGCGGTTCAGAAAATCTGATTTGTTATCAAGTCAGGAATTGACCATGAGTAGCGGTGAGCAGTGAACACAGTTGTCTGTAAATAAATATTCAATTAGTAAATTAACAATCACCGTGGATTTACGAGAAACAATGTATAACAGTTGTGCGGTATCCTTTATATATCCTTTCCTTTATATATAATATTTGAGAGTTGAACTCTCAGAAGTGCGACATTTGGCGTGCTGATTAGATCTTTTTTTGACACTTCATCAGCCACGTCATCAAAATCAATTTCCTCAATATTTCAAACGGGTTGGGCTTCTAGAATTGTGACATGTGGCGTGCTTATTAGACAACTTTTTTAACAAATCAGCATGCCATGTTAGCAAGTAATGTTTAAAAAATAGTTAACAAAAAAACTTATTATGCACAAATTAAATTTCATATTTGTTACACACAAATTTCTCCATATAATCGCGTTTAAAAACTTTTATATTTTCATTCATTATTGGAAAATATTTAAATTAAATAGTATAGTTTGAAATTTAAAAAAACCACCTATTCAAAAACTATAATCAAAACAAATAAATTTACTTTAAGAACGGATAGATTGGTAGGACTAAACGAAATTACATTTGATTTTTTTGCTTTGAATTAATAGTATTTGGAGAGGTTTTCTAATCCTTTATATATTATATTTGGGAGTTTAACTCCCAGAATTTTGACATTTGTCATGCTGACGAGGATTTTTTTTGACACTTCATAAGCCATGTCATCATATTGGACTTACTTAATATTTCAATGGGTTGGATAATGATTCATTACTTTGGGCTTCTTTTATTTGGGCTACTCTGTGTGAAATTCATCCGCAAGTCTGAATGAAGCGAAACATCAGCGACACTTTCCTTCGATTGCACCTCCCTGCGATATTCATCTTCAAATGGCTCCACCGCGAGATTTCAGAGAATATGTGATTGGAATTAATCTCTTTCCTTCTTCACGGTCCTTCTTCATGGAGATTCCAACGATCGGTACCAAGAATAGGTAACTTTCCCTTTTCTTAAAAAATCATAATTGTTTTTGGGATGATTGGTCTTCTTTCCTTCTTATGATGATTAGTCTGTGCGAAATTTGTTCTTCTTTCGAATTTTCTGGTTCAAATCTTTGGATTTTCTACCCTTATTGCTGTGAGTTTCCTTTTTGCGATTTATATTAGGTCATATATAAATTAAATTTTAAGTTGGATAGAGACACACAAGATTTTTCTGATTGGATAATCAAAGTTGGAGATGGAAAGCTTGGACAAGTGATTGATGGAACTGCTGACGTTGAAATTCCTCTCGAATTTTTGATTATAGATAACAGCTCACCCTTCAAAAGTATAGTGGACTTTACTTATCTGAACTTATTGGAGAATATGAGAAGTTATTCTTTTTTTGAAGACATGGCACTACTAGCACCCACGCTCGAAATTGTAGAAATGGTAAATGAATTTGTATCCCTCATTCCCGGAGATGAAATGATGTACTTGAGTTCTGATTCATCATGCCAAGCAGATTCAAATGTAGGTGTTGATGGCAACTGGATAACAGTTGAGTTTTTGAATGAAATCAAATGTTTGGGAATCCCAAACCACAGGATAGTTTTAAAAAAAGGGGTACCAATTATGTTACTGAGGAACATTGACCAAACATCTGGATTGTGTAATGGTACAATATTAATTGTTGACGAGATGTGAAAGATTGTTATTGGTGCTATTGTGGTTTTGGGAAATCAAGTGGGTGAAAAAGTTTACATACCCCGGATGAATTTGGTACCGTCTGATCCAGGACTACCTCTAAAGTTCCAGAGAAGACAATTTCCAGTAGTCTTATGTTTTGCTATGACTATTAACAAAAGTCAAGGTCAAACATTATCATTTGTTGGATTATTTTTAACCAAGTCAGTGTTCACTCACGGTCAGCTTTATGTTGTTGTTTCGCGAGTGAAGACAAAGACAAGATTAAAAATATTAGTCTTAGATGATAATGGAAATCCTTGCAACCATACAAAAAATGTTGTATACCCTGAAATCTTTCAAAAAAATTGGTATTAAAGCAAACTTTGTTGTGTGTAGATTAAATTCTTCAAATATTATTCTTTTTACTTTGCCTTACTTTTCTGTGTTATTATAAATCATTCATGAGGTATATTTCCTTTATTCTGAGAAAAAATATTGCATTGAATAAATTCAGAATTGACAAGATATTCGTCCGAACCTGTGCATTGCACGGGTAGGAATACTAGTTATTTAAAAAAAGAAACAAATATATAAAAGGAAATGGATTTTTATGGGCACGCTTATTTAATAGAGCATTAATTTTATTCCGTATATATAAAAAATTTTAAATCAAATAAAAAATATGTTTCATTTTAAAATTAGTATTTTCCATTTTAAAATTACTGTTTTCCATGTATAGCTTTGTAAAAATTTACATGTAACAAAAATTATCATTTCCATTTATAACTTTGTAAAATGATCAAGACTTGATAAGTGAGTATTTATGTGTAAGAAATTAAATATTAATTGGTGTTCCTAATCGAAATATTTATGGTATAATATTAATTGCTATAAATGTAATTACTTTTATATTTAATTCTTAAAAAAATGTGCTAATTATTTTGACATCTATGTCGAAATAATATAAGTAAGTAATATTCTTTCTTATTTATTCATTGAACCATCTACATCAATGTAACAAATATTAGTGGATAATAAAAAAAATTTTTAAAGTTTTTAGATAAAAAATTATACTGGGTAATATTTATTTTATGATGCTTATTACAAATACAGAAGGAGAGGGATCATCATCGGCTATAAACTCGCATCATCGAACACGTTCGAGAAAGAATGTACTTTGCAAGCACGTTCCAGTACATATTTCTCAAAAAATCGTCTATAATTTTCCAACAACGAAACAATTATACACACGCTTCATCGCGCTTTTAAGTGCATAAGAAACAGAAGAGAATTGATCTATGTTTACAACCCATTCTACTAATTTCTTTGAATATGATAATACAACTATTGTCTTTTTGTATAAAATATTATAAACAATGTAAGAAAATAGATATGGTGGACACACTTGATATATTTTAAATTTAAATGTCGAGGTAGAAGGTTCATATGTTTAAGATACATTAGTGGAATCAATTTTAGATGATCCTACATTTAGAGAAATAAAAATTAAAAATATGCTTAGATTATATATGCAACATGTAAGTTGTGTAGAATGCTTTCGGGAAACTTTGTTATGACATGAACTATGAAGAAAGAATCAAATGAATAAAGATTCAAAACATCTAAAGTTTTCAATTTATTGCATAAAAGAAAAAGTTTAATTGTCTCTTCTAAGGAAAACCATCTGATTTGCTCTATAATTTATTTTATGGTCTTGGTGTGAAGAGTTCTCATTACCATGAAAAATTTAAATAAATACAACTGTATGTTTTCATTAACATTTATAAATGGAAATATTGATGCATCTCACAATAATGGTTGAGCAATAATGTACTCTCAGCGGACACATTCATCATCACTTACCATATTTAATGTCACAATATGGTGAAAGACCAAAATTTACACAATTGTATATTTATGGTATACAGAACGAGATATGAAAACAAATAACTCTTTTTAGGTATCTCGAATACTTTATTGAGTACACCATTTTAATAAAAGTATTATTTACATTGTTTGACAATATAATACACATGAAACATTATTAACATGCTAATAAAAACAAATTGTTCTATTTGTTTCGCACAGCAGGGAGAATAATTCTTTGACTACTGATAAAAGTTTTGTCAAAGATTTGAAAAATATGATGGATGAGCATAATGTTTTAACACATATATTTAGAAGAACTAAAGATTTCATGGATAATGAGCCTACTTCTAATGTATCATTGAGGCTGTTGAGAAGTAATACTTCATATATAATGAGTCTACTTCTAATGTATCATTGAGGTTGTTGACAAGTAAAACTAGAGACTCAAGAAATTATAATATCTCCACAATACATGAAGTTGGTGCTCTAATAGTTAAAGATCTTGATTTTTAACATAAGTTATTCCTCAAGATTATAGTGAACTTCACTTATCCGAACTTATTGGAGAACATAAAAAACTATTATATTCTTTTTTTAAGATAGTAGTAGTGCACTATTGGCACCCGTGCTCGAGGTTGTTGAATGGTAAATGAATTTGTCTTATCCTTTATTCCA